CCTGGGCCCCGTCGCGCTCCTCCCAGGCCTCGTCGCGCCCCTCCTGGGCTCTGTCGCGCCCCTCTTGGGCCCCGTGGCGCTCCTTCCAGGCCCCGTAGCGCCCCTCCTGGGCTCTGCCGCGCCCCTCCTGGGCTCCGTAGCGCCCCTCCTGGGCCCCGTCGCGCCCCTCCTGGGCCCCGTAGCGCCCCTCCTGGGCCCCGTCGCGCCCTCCTTGGGCCCTGTAGCGCCCCTCCTGGGCCCCGTCGCGCCCCTCCTGGGCCCCGTCGCGCCCCTCCCAGGCCCCGTAGCGCCCCTCCTGGGCCTCGTCGCGCCCCTCCTGGGCTTCGTAGCGCCTCTCCTGGGCCCCCCGTCGTGCCCCTCCTGGGCCCCGTAGCGCCCCTCCTGGGCCGCGTCGTACCCGTCGCCGCCGCCCGGCCCCGTCGTGCCCGCCCGGCGCCGTCGCGCCCGCCCGACCCCGTCGCCGCCGCCCGGCCCCGTCGCGCCCGCCCGGCGCCGTCGCCGCCGCCCGGCCCCGTCGCGCCCGCCCGGCGCCGTCGCACCCTGCCCGGCCCCGTCGCGCTCGCCCGGCCCCGTCGCAGCCGCCCGGCCCCGTCGCACCAGCCCGGCCGCCGTCCCGCTCGCACGGCCCCGTCGCAACGGCCCGGCCCTGCCGCACTCGCCCGGCCCCGTCGCCCCAGCCCGGCCCCGTCGCGCCCGCTCGGCCCCGTCGCCCCGTCCCGGCCCTGTCGCACCAGCCCGGCCCCGTCGCGCCCGCCCGGCCTCGTCGGGCCAGCCCCGGCCCCGTCCTCCTCACTGGTACAGTTCCCCCCCCCCCCCCCCCCACCCCGCACTGCACCGCACTGTACCGCACTGCACCGCACTGCACCGCACTGTACCACACAGTACCGCACTGCACCGCACTGCACCGCACTGTATCGCACCCCACCTAGCTGCACCGCCCTGCGCAGCACTGGACTGTTCCTGATGGCGGCGGAGCTTCGCTTCGACGCTGAAGGTCAGCCCCTAGAGTTCGAGGCGTGGCTTGCCGACCTCCGCCGCCAACTCACTGGCCAGCGGCAGGATGGTGAACCGCTTTCCGCACACCTTGATGGTACGCTCCCCTGCCCAGACCCTCCTGCTATTCTGCCCGCTGACCCCACACCCACTGAGCGTGAGTCTACTGCTGCCACTGCCCGTGCGCGCTCTGTCTGGCTTTCTCGCGATGCTGTCGCCCAGCTTGCCATTAGCAACGCCCTCCCCCCGTCCGAGCGTCCTCGCTTTAGGTCCCTCACTACTGCTCAGGCATACTTAGATGCTGTCATCAAGCGCTATTCCACCCCTCCGGCTGCCTCGGTGGGTCGCCTGATCCTCCCGCTGCTCTTTCCTGACCTTGCTTCGTTCCCCACTGTCTCTGACCTCGCTGCCCACCTGCGTTCGAGACCTGGCGCGCCGCCTGCACTGACGCACAGCTTAGAGCCCACCAGCCGCCCATTACCTCTACCCTTTACCTGCTTGCCACCCGCCTCCCTGACCGCCTTGCTGTCGCCCGCGACCGCTTCCTTAGTGTTCACCCCGCAGACCTCACCCTCACTGACTTTGTCGACACCCTGACTGTCATAGAGACCCGTCACCGCTCCATCGCCCAGGCGAGCGGTGTCGTGCCGGTCCCTATCTTTCAGGGTTGTGCCCCCGCTCAGTGTACCTTCTCCGACGGCTCTGCCGCAGTGGCTGAGACTGCTGCTGCAGCGCAGGCCCGTTCTGGGAAGGGCCGCCGCCCCAAGGCTGGGCGCGGCGGAGGGGGCGGCGGGGGTGCGGGCGGGGGTAGTGGTGGGGTCGGGTCGTGGTGGGGTCGGGTCGGGCGCTGTGCGCTACGCTTCTCACCAGCTTAACCTGTGGCCGCACCCTCAGCAGCCGCAGGTTTCGCCGACCCGTCTGTGGACTGGGTCTCCTGGTGACGCGTCTGCGTTCCACGTCTGGGGCTGCCTTGCTCACGTCCGTGCCTCCGGCACGGACAAGCTCCCTGCCCGCACCCTTCCCTGCGTCTTCCTCGGTTTTCCCCTTGACGCGTCCGACTGGCACTTTTACCATCCGCCGTCTCACCGCTTCTTTCACTCTCGTGACGTCACCTTTGACGAGTCCGTCTCCTACTACCGCCGCTTTCCCCACCGTGGTCCCCCGGTTACCCCCCCCCTGTTCCTGGTCATCCCTTCCCCGGTAGTCCCTGCCCCTCCTCCTCCTTCTCCCCGTCCCGCCCCCTCTGGTGTCTCCCACGTCACCCCCCTTCCGTCCGTGGACCCGGTTGAGGAGTCTTCTGCCTCTGGTTGCCCTCCCGTGCAGTCCTCGTCGGCCGCCCCTCCCCACGTGTCCCCTCCCCAGTCCCCTCCTCCGCCGTCCCTGCCGCCACTGCAGCCGTCGCCGTCGCCGCCGCCGCCGCCGCCGCCGCAGTCGCAGCCCCCGTTCGCTGACTCTGGGGGTGCTCGTCCCGGTCGCCCTGAGGGTGGTCCCTCTGGGGGTGCGGGTGTGGAGAGTGCCGGTGGTAGCCGAGGAGCAGCTTGCGGTCCAGGTGTCGCCGTTGTGCCGCCGCAGCAGCAGTCCCCGCCGGTGTCCGCCCTTCGTCTGCTCGGCCTTCCGTCCCCCGACCCTGCGTCGGTTCCTCCCCGACCGTCTCCTCCTCTTCCTGTCTACGGCCCTGTTTTCCCTCCGCCGGACTCGTCCCCGGCCCGTCTCCCCCCTCGTTCCCCTCCTGTGTCCCCTCCTCTGTCTCCTGACCCGACTCCTCCGTCGCACGTCTGGTCTCACCGTCCCTCCCGTGCTCATCCTGCCTCGCCTGTCTTGCCCTCCCACCCTATGTTGCTTCGTTCCCACGCGTCTCGTCCTCCCCTTCTGCCGTCGCCTCCTCCGTCCTCCCTTGTTGTTGCACCCCCCCCGCTGTCTGACTACCTTCGTGCCGCTCGTCCTCTTGTTCCTCGGGTCCTTGCCTCTCTCGTTACCGACTCGTCTGTTCCGGTCTCGTGCCTTGACGCTCTTGTCGCTGCGGTCGCTGACTTCGCCTCTACCCGCCGCCTTGACTACGCCACAGCTCTGGTCTCTGACCCTGCCTGTCCTCCGTCTGTCGGGGGTGCTCCTGCCCTTGGCAGTGACGTCCTGGAGGACCGCCAGTTCGAGCTTGCTTTCCTCTCCGAGGCTGCTCCCCATCTCTGTTCCATGCTGCTAGTCCCTGAGGGTGACCCAGACGCTTTCGACATCCCGACCCCTCGCACTTACGCTGAGGCGACTTCGGGACCGTGGGCCTCGCAGTGGATAGCTGCCATGGAGCAGGAGATGGCATCTTGGAGATCCACCGGCACCTTCGTCGACGCAGTTCCCCCACCTGGGGTGAACGTAGTCGATGGCCGCTGGCTCTTCAAGGTGAAGCGCCCTCCTGGAGAGCCGCCTGTCTTCAAGGCGCGCTATGTGGCTAGAGGCTTCAGTCAGCGCGAGGGGGTGGACTTCTTCCAGACTTTCGCTCCGACCCCGAAGATGACTACTCTTCGGGTTCTGTTACACCTAGCTGCTCAGCGTGACTACGAGCTTCACTCCCTCGACTTCTCCACTGCCTTCCTTCAGAGCAGCCTACACGAGCAGGTCTACCTGCGCCGCCCTCCGGGCTATACTGGCACCTTCCCTCCTGGGACCCAGTGGCTCCTGCGGCGCCCCGTCTACGGCCTGCGCCAGGCTCCCCGTGAGTGGCACGACACTCTGCGTGCTACGCTTGCTGACCTGCAGTTCTTTCCGTCTTCTGCAAACCCTTCACTCTTCGTTCGTGCTGGCCAGACTCCGTTCTACATCCTCGTTTACGTCGACGACCTGGTCTTTGCCACAGCAGACAGGGACGCGCTGGCCTCCGTGAAGGCAGAGCTGCTGAAGAGACACACCTGCACTGACCTTGGAGAACTGCGCCGTTACCTTGGCTTGCGGATCTCCAGGGACAGAGCTGCGCGCACCATCACCCTGACTCAGTCACACTTGGTGCGCCAGGTCCTTCAGAGGTTCAGCCTTCAGTTCTCCTCTGCACAGCCCACCCCTCTGCCTGTAGACCACAGGCTCTCCGCTCCAGTGTCTGAGGAGTTGGTAGAGCCCAGCGGCCCCTACGCAGAGCTGGTGGGTTGCCTCATGTACCTGATGACTTGCACTCGCCCAGATCTCGCATACCCTCTCAGCATCCTGGCTCGCTTTGTGGCCACAGGCAGACACCGACCGCAGCACTGGTCTGCCGCTAAGAGGGTTCTGCGTTATCTTGCTAGTACATCGGGCATCGGGTTAGTGCTAGGAGGACGCAGGCCAGCGGTCCTTACTGGGCACACAGACGCTTCGTGGGCAGACGACGCTGAGACACTCCGGTCTACCCAGGGCTACTGCTTCAGCCTTGGCTTAGGTGCCGTCTCGTGGAGAGCTACTCGCTCCTCGTCTGTTGCACAGTCCAGCTGTGAGGCTGAGATCTACGCCGGTGCCATGGCGGCACAGGAGCTCCGCTGGCTGACCTTCTTGCTCACTGACTTAGGTGAGCGGCCTAGCTCTGCCCCGGTCCTGTTTGCTGACAACAGGGCCATGATCCTCCTGTGTCAGGAGCCTCGACTCGAGGGCAGAGCGAAGCACATTTAGCTGCGGTACTTCCTCCTGCGTGAGCTACAGCAGCGACGTCAGGCTCGCGTAGTACACTTGGCCTCAGGTGCCAACACGGCTGATATCTTTACGAAGGCGCTTGCGCCTAAAGATCATCAGCGGCACTGTGTACAGCTTGGTCTAGTTCCTGTAGCCTCTCACTTGCTAGGACCTTGACTTTGTACTGTCCTTTATATGTATACTTTGACTGGACTTGTGTTCTCTCCCAGTGGCTGGACTAGAAGTGCCGCCCTGCTCTTGTGCTTGCCTTGTCTGTACTCCTTCTGACCGGTCGCTCAGACCCTTGCCTCAGAGGTTGGACTAGTAGTGCCGCCCTGAGCTGCTTGTTTAGGGTATTCCCCTATGCAGTCTAGGGGGTG